AAGACCTGTGGCAGAGACCTCTGCCAGGGTCTGGCAGCTCTTCCCACCACCCTTTGTTTCACCCAGTGAGGACAGACCTCCCCCTCGGCTTTCCTGTCCCTCTGCCACCAGCAGACCATTGACCTCTCCGTGCAAAGACTGCCAACACAGCTACAGGTGGCCTTGTTTACACCACAGACCTTGTTTACAGTAGAAAAACATAGACCAAGAGCCAATGGTTGCATGCTATGGCATAGACACAGGGGTGAGTTTGCTGCTTATGCTGCTCAGTGATGTAGCGGATGCAAAAGCAGGAGAGGGATTTTTAGGAACAATTACAAGCAACAGAGAAACAACAACAAAATCTATCATTGACATCAATGTCATGGCACTTCAAGAGCAATGAGAAGGGAGGCTCCATGGGTGGTATCGCAAAACCAATTATGTGCACCCAGACAGGCTTGGTGCTGTTCCAGTCCAGAAGTGACCAAAGCTACCAGGGAATGGCTGGAAAATATTGCTGCTGCTGCAGGGAACACTGTAAGCCCTTTTGTCACCCATCTATTGATTCATGAGATAAAAGGTTGTTTTTTCTTCTGCCTTGTGGTTTCAGCTCAAGGCTGGATATCCCTGGAGCCATGTCTAAGGACGTGGCTGCACGTGACTATGTCTATGTCGAGTGGCCCGTGCTGGCATTAGGCAGATGACAGACTGTCAGAGACACCGCTGCCATCATTTGAAGGCTGGGTGAACACACCACAGCTGGAACACCCTGAAAATTGGCGTATTGCACACTTTGCACAGTCTATGGTACTACAGACAGTGCTGGTAGGGCTGCAAGGTACTCAACACATCCCATTATATGACCCCATTTTCAGTCAACTAAAACTTTGCTAAACACTTTGAGGTAACTTTTTTTCCATGCTGAATGCCTGCCTCAGACTGACTTTTTCTGAAGGCAAAAATTCAGCCAAACTGGTTTGGCTATTTCCTAGCAAAAAGCACACGAGGCAGGAACAGAAAAAGCTGTTTTTCACCACACTAAATGTTTCTGGTGACCTTTCTGCTAAACAGCTCCAGCACTGCCCAGCTTTGGAGCTTGGATCTTTCCATCGCATCTGAAGTGGGAATCCTGGTAGTGCCTGGCATTGACACCTCCTTGCAGCGCTCTGTGGCCCGAAGCACTCAGTTCCTGTGCGGTGCATTGCCGATTTTCGGCCCCGCTGATGAGCTGTGTGGCCATCAACATGATACAGCACCACAGGATTCCTACCTTTTCTTGATTTTTAAAAACTATATCCAGAAAGTTGTGTTACAAATGACTGCAGCTGCACAGTCAAATATGTGGGGGTCCTGAAGCACTGGGATTGAAGTGACCTGAGCAAATGCAATTTGCCTTTGGAAAGAGATTTCCGAGACGCTTGAAAGAGATGTCTATTGCTACCTGTCTCATTCCAGGCAGGTGGCCTTCCTGTCTGAAGCTTCATGTAGTTTTAGTTACAGCATATTGATAGCCCGCAGTCTTCTGTTGCCTTTCTTTTTTCCTTTTTTTTTTTAGTATAGTTTGTACAGGAGGTGTTTGATATCCATTGAGGTTTTACAAGTGTTAGTAATGCAGCGTATCCTGAAAGCAATACTGCTGTGCCCTAAAAGCAGTGCTGTTTCATGCGGCTTGCGCAGCCGTGGCATGAAAGGGCGGCTTAGGGCTGAGACCCCAGTTTTGCCCCTGGACCATCAGCATTTCTGTGGGTGTCTGCACAGGCTTGTGCAGAAGAGACCTGGCACTGTCATACGCTGCATCATGTGATGGCAGAGGCTCGTCAGGGTGTTTGGGGCTGCATAGCCTGTCCCCATCATAAGCTCCTGATATCCCAGTCTCTCTGCATCATCTGATCACTGCCAGTATCACCACCCTTGTCAACTGATATTTATTTTAAAAGTATGTATACTCAAGAGCTCTCAGCATAACGGTGTTACGTGATCAAGCAACAAAAGTTCCTCCTGCCTGATATTTTACTACTACTACCTCTTCATGCCAAGGACCTGTGTGCAAAGGAAGGCAGCTTAGTGCCAAGGCACTTGCCCATGTGGTTCTGCTACCGACCTTCTAGGTGACCTTGGGCAGGTTTGGGCCCAGCTTAGTGGGCATATTTAGGTATGAACTTCCCATTGATTTTAGCTGGAGCTAAGTGTCTAAATAGTTCCCTGGTTCTGCAGCACGGGGGGTCCTCAGCCACAGTGTGACCTTGCAGAAGTCAACAAGTCCTGGGAGACCATTAGTAAACTTAGTGGAAACACATGGATAGGGCAAAGACGGATAAACTACGGTGGGACAGGACAAGGTCCTATTTGACACAAGTCCCAAGGAATGGGTAATAACAAGTAAGTGCTAATAAACATCCTGGGAGGAAGGAGCGAGAGAAAAAGACAGTTGCAATCACTGCATCTCTGAATCCACTGCACTTATTACATTAATCTTTCAGCCTTGCTTCATTATTACAGTTTTCCTTTTTTTTTAGTATACAACCCATGTTTCTCATAGTTATTACCCTCAGCCACCCAAGGGATTTGTGCAGGTGAGGAGCTTAACTCCCCTGGGTGCAGCTGATTTGGTGGGTAACACTGACATGAAGTGAGCAGAGTTTGTGGCTAATTAAAATGCCACACATTAAAATCAGTTTTGCTAATTACTAATATTTAGCAGCCCCATTTTGACTGCAATTTCCACGTCCCATGGGGTTTTGAACCCTGTTAATTTCCCACTAACTCTCTTGGCACTGTTTAGCATATCAAAATGACCATGAAATTGAAAATCTCTAGTCATTTTGCTTCTTTAGGCATGCATTCTGGCAGTAACAGGGAAAATATTCAGCACAGGGAAAATGTGACCAGATTCAGGCCCTTTCCCCTTTTCTCTCCGGAAGGGGATGGAGCAATCCTGGCCAATCCGGAGGAGGAGCACGGGAGCAAGCTGGGAGCAAACCGAGCTCGCCGCCCCAAGAGCAGGGTGCTTGGAGCTGCCTTTCCCGTGCAGACCATGCGACTCAGGCCCCGAGCTGGCACTAATAGCATCCGCTTGGTCACTAAATGAGTTGTATCTCTGAAAATCAGCAGCCTGATCTTTTAACTCCTGCCCTTGGCACCGGTCAGTGAAACACAGCTACTCCTATGCAGTGTCACACACCAAACCACCGGCAGAATCAGCGCCAGCGCCTGCGTGTGCTGTTTCCCAGGCTCCTACTCTGCTTAACAGACCATGCTCCTCGCTCCTGTAAGGCAGAAACATCCTTTACAGGGGACAGAAAGAAGAGGGGCAACCTGAAGAGACCTCTGCTCAGGCAGAGTGCCTTTGCAGCACTGCCGCATAGTCGCAGCCATCCAAACACACACATAACACCAGTGTGTGAATTTGCAAGAAAAATCACTCTGTTATTCAGCAATAAAATCTCTAAATCAGCCTCCGACAGTCGCTCAGACAAACTACATAAACATTCAATGTAACAGCAATCAAAAATGCATCAGCTGTTATTTTCTTCTTAACTGGAAAGGGAGTTTCACATGCTTTCAGTAAGCACACGTCTACCCTGATCAATGTTACCTCTTATTCAATAGGTGCTGCTGCTATTTGAGTTCATTCCCGTTGCTTGGGTCTTGGCCACCTAGCCACTTTCATAGCCTTGCTCTACGTATGGTAATTAAACTTCATTCTGGGTCTTTCCCAGGCAGCATTTTCTGACCATCGATCCTACACACAGCAACCCACACCGGGTCCTGCACAAACCCTCTCCTGCAGCCCCTTGCCCTCTCCACACTGGGGGAATATCCAAAATACTTACTGCCCAGGACCCGCTGCTGCATCCAGGCACATGAGCAGACCTTTCCTTTCCGAAGCCAGCTGTTCCGTAGACCCACAAAACTACCTTGATCCCGGTGGGATGAGCCTAGCAGCAAGAATTTGTTCTTCTCTATTTGTTTTCCCCATTTGTAAACTGAGCACCGTAATACTTGCCTAGATCAAAGGGGGTATGGAGAGAATTAAATAATTAATGTATGTAAAGCACTTTGAGAGATGAAAGATGCTATGTAAGTACAAAGTACTAACTACAAAAAAAAAGAGAAATGGTTATTGATGTAACTCTCCAGTTTATTCTGTAAGAAATGCATGAAATCTAAATAATTGCCACTAACAAATTAGGAGTTAGATTATGCCTTGAAGCATCTGTGCAGGATAGCAAGGATTCTTGCCTTCTTCTGCGGCTGAATTAGGGCTTCTGCCTGAGCAGGGAAGTGGGAACTGTCCTCACCACGGGAGCTGGGAGGAGAAGCGGCTTCCTGGCTCACCACGTTCCTCCAAGCAGCCACATCAAATGGACGTCAAGTCAAAAATTGATCACGTATCATCTTGAAGCAAGTTGTACTTGGGGCAAGCCCGGGGCCTCCCTGCTCCAAGGGTTAGAAACCATCTCCTGACTCCCAGGCTAAATTTGCTAATGGCCACTTTATATCCATTTGTCCCTGTGCCAACACTGTTTTCAGTTTAACGCAAGATATTTATAGAGCCCATCGCGTACACTCCAACCTTTAATTTTTGTTAGGCTGCACAGCCTTGCTCACATTTACCGTTCTTTTCACGGCCATGTCACATTTGCCATTTCCCAGTAATCCTGTGATCAGCTAATACATTTGGGCCTTTCACTGATTTTTTTTTCTGTGTCCCCGAGAAATCCTTACGCTGACGCCTTCCGTGCCAAGCCTTGCATTTGGCACCACTGCGCTTCATCCCATCCCTATTGTTCCCATCCTCAAGGTCACGCAGCTCTTCCTGTCCGATAGCCCGGAGCCTCTCATGTATTGACAAGCACTCCCATTTTTGTGTCATCAGGAAATTTCATGGCGCTCCTCCCTCTTTTGTGTGTGACGGGCAAATATTAACTGAAGTCAGTCCTCCAGTAACTCCCGTCTTCCAGACCCTCTTTGAGCACATCTTGCTTTCATCTCCCGCACTGCTGTATCTCGCCTACCTTGCGGGGATGATTGAGAGCCTCCGAAAATGAAAGATGCGGCAAGTTTGTAGGGTTTGCCGGGTTGGAGCCGTGCTTTAAAAGAGGCTGCATTCCCCTGGGGACGTTGCAAAAGAGAGTCAGAGGTTGCGAAGCACTGACATTTCATAACAGTGCTAAGCCAAGAAAATATAATGCTCAGAGTAGCGCTGGGTGGGAGGGAGTGCTCCTCAGCATCTGGTGGAGCACACGCAGTAATTTTGGCTGTGCAGAACACCTCGTGTCCTTAAGAAGCCTCTCAAATAAAAGGTCACGGGTCTGAGAAAGCTGAAGAACAGCAGCACAGAGGAAGGATTGGCGATGCTGTTACTGCTGATCCGCATGGGCAGCGAGGGAGGCACAGCCCGAGGAGAGGCAGCGTGTAGAGATGCTACCCTCTGTTTTGCCCACGATAAAGAACATGCAGCTTTGGTCCTTAAGAAGGTGATTTATGGATGATTTACAACTGTGCAGGAAGGGAGAGCATGCTGATTCCTGGGAGTAACCAGGTTCTCGTGAGACAGCAGATTATGGCCCAGCATGTAGGCAACTCTGTCGTTGCTAGGACGAGCGCAGGAGAAGATGAAAATAAATTAACCCTGATGCATTCGGCTCTCTGGGCTCTGGGGAAAATCCTGGACTTGATTTGCAGATCAGTCAAGAGCCAAGGAGAAACCCTGGCTACGCTCATATCCATGAGGCCTAAGGTGTCAACTCGGGGTCTTGGGTGCTCACGGCTCCCAGTGCAAATCTCTGAGAGAAGCCAGCATTCACGGGGCGGGGGCTTGATCCAAGGAAAGTAAGGCCCATTTTCCACAGAAAGACTGAGAGCTCTTTGGCAAATTCTAAGCTAGGAGACTGAAATCCTCATAGCTGGGACCTCTGGGGCAGACGGTGCCTTCTCAAAACATCCCAGCACGTATTTCAGGCAATTGCAGTGCCTCTGAGCACATCAGACCTTGAAGTGCAGCTGAGGCTGCGAACAGCTCGGTGAGACTGCCCAGATGCCAACGTGAGAGCTCGCGCCAGCCGCAGACACAAAGCCCTGAGTGTCTGGAGACGCCGGCAAGCCCTGAGAAATGAGATCTATATGCATGTGCAGCACCGGGGTTGTCTGGGTCTTCGGAGCAAGCACCTTGTGAGAGCTGCGTGCAGTGCTACAGCCACTCAGAAGCAGTTTCTTCATGTGCCTTCTAGTGCATTTGTACAGCGGGACGTGGCAAATGTGCACTAATGAGCGAGATCCGTATCAGGCTGCTGCAACAGACGTGGCTGCAGAGTTGCTTCTTGCTTCCCCTTGCAGGGGCGCTTTCCTTCATGTCTTCCCTGTCATTAATGGAGAGCGGGAGCCATCATCCTTCCCACTAATCCCCATGGCCCCCGAACCCGAGCGCAAAGCCGCCACGGGCGGGTTTGGCAGCGCTGCTCCGCACGGCCTAGCGCGGGCGCTTGAGCCGGGGCGCGTGCGTGGGGGTGTGCGTG